CGACGATTGATTCCAGTGACGCATTTGCTTTTTCAGCTGCAGGAAAACCTGGAAAAACCTGCAGTAGGTATCATGCATTTGCATACATAGCCTGAAATATATTTGTTATTTCTTAAAAATTCGAAAATATTTTGTTCGAACGAATCCTTGCAAGTTGGAAGATTCTAGATTTCAAAATATATTTTCTTTCCCTAAAACATACAAATGTTTGAATTTGGCGCCATAAGTTTTTAATAGCCATTCTTCGAAGCGACATCTGTTCACTTATCTTTTTTTGCTAGAAGACAGTAGTTCCCTAGTCTTTTTCGTTCTTCTCATTATTGTTATGTCGGAAAATAACATTTGGGATCTGATCACATCGATTAAGTCAAATGATGCTTCGTACAAAACATCTATGAGTGATAAAAGAATATGTCCAGTTTGAAAATTGGTGAGTAGGATTCACGCTTGTTCGATTTTCTGTGTTTTGGTCCCACCCCCAGCAAATCTGCCTGTGGGTGAAATATGCTTCTCCCTGTTTGGGAAGTAGAAATTGAATATTGTTTTAATAATTGCAACAATGACTCACATATAAATTTATCAGTTGTATTTCTCAATTCAGTGATAACACAAACACAGGGATATAAATCCAGGCTGAGCAATTCAATACCTATCAATTATTTTATTACAAAAAAAACTAGTTTTTAACTATCTTAGCTCTTGCCTTTGCTTCATAGAAACCTTTTTTTATTATTTTAGCAAATTGCTTGATGTTGGTCAGCATGATAACACTATTATTTGTTATTATTTTAAGTGCTGGAGCTCCTTATACTATTGTAGACTAGAGCATGTGTGTCAGCTAGCACTAGTTAGTTGTGCTTGTTGTCATGTTGGAAACAAGGTCCGTTCGTGGAATGCCGGAACACTCTTGGAATAACTACGGGGCAAAAATTTCTCCTCATCAAATGGCGACCCCCATCAGACATGGTGAGTACCCCTTACGAATTTAGTAATAAGTAAGAATTACTCCATTGAATAACATACTGAAAACTAATCCTTCACTCTATCTTTTATATACCCCACGTTACCACTAGTAAGACACTCCAAAGCATATATTATTTCTACATCTACTCAACTTTTATATACCTCAGATACATACTCAATTACCTAGAGTATATATTGCTTCTACATCAATAATAATATGTCCACAAAGACATTGGTTTCTAAGAAAACAAGTTCTGTAATGGTGGTCTATTTAAATACATTTGGTCACTTAGTAAAATGTTCGAATTTTTAGGTTTATTGATTTCTAATATTTCCAAATGATTTAGCTTCAAACCCTTATTTTCTTTCGTTTAATTAAGTTCAGTATTTCAAAAGTTATTTGAAAAAAACGAAAATAGAAATAAAACTTCAACATCCTGTATCTTGGAAACGAAGCGTTTCCGGACATTTATTTATTTGGACAATTCATATTAGAATATTGTGAGGTATCACCTCCTGAAGTTTGTCAAAGTACTTTTGAATCACCCTGTATACTTCCAGTTCCGGAGTGCCCCAAGGCTCGAATTTAGGACCTCTTTTGTTCTTGATTTTCATCAATGATTTAACTAAAATAATAAACAATTCAAAACTGCTCTACGTCGATGACCTTAAAATATTCTTAGTGATAGAAAATTATGGAGACTGCTTATACTTACAGTATGAATTAGATCTGATATATGATTGCTGTTCCAATAATTGTTTGAATCTTAACATTGCTAAATGTCATGTATTGTATTTTTCCAGAAAGGAAAGTCTAATACAATTTACTTATGAAATTGATAACAATACCATAAGTCGAGTTAATGAAATGAAAGACCTTGGCATTGATTTTCATCAGAAATTCACTTTTGTTTCACATATAGACCAAGCTGTTTCATCCGCAAGTTGAATGTTGGGCTTCATAATGATGAACACTAGAGAATTCAGAGATATAAAAGTGATAATCACGCTATTTTATTCTTATGTGACGTCTAAACTAGAATATGGGGCGTTGATCTGGTATCCCATTTATAATTCTCATATAAAGCAAGCAATAGCAAGAAGTTATTTAACCACCTNAACCGTAATCGACAGTCTCAACTGTCAATTATAAATACTGGACAGTTCAAACAGTCAATTATCAATAATCGGCCATAATCGACGGTCTGAATTATCAATTATAAATACTGGATAGTTCAAACAGTCAATTATCTATAATCAGCCATAATCGATGGTCTGAACTGTCAATTATCAATACTGGACCAATTCAGTCATATAAATGAGTATAGATTCCAAACATCTATAAACATGTTTCTTTAAAGGTTTTGCATTTATTAAGACTTTCATTTGCGTTTATGATAACCTTCTGTTCATTCAACTGTATTTAAAAACCAAACTTTGCAATTTTGTTAATACAGTAGAGCATTGAAAATCCTAATCAATTGGGACAAAGGTAGTTTGAATTTTCAAACATAACCTAGAAATGCCACTAAGACCTATAATTAAGCATTCAGTAAAAAAGATACAGTTCTGTAATACAATCCAGAAAATGTAGTTGGTTTTTTGAAGAAATATGTATGTAGAGTAAATACAATTATAAAACTTCTATTGTTCTTGAGCTACTTATATAAATATGTATTCAAAAAATCCTCAGGAGGCGCTCTGCTGTAGTAGATTTTAGTACTCTTTGTTTTATATACCATGAATATATTGTACTTGTATAATTTTAAATGTATTGTTAATGGTAACACCTTCAAATAATAATAAATGAATAATTTCTATGATTCTCATTTTATTGCCCAAATGTGAATCTTCAAATTCCATGCATTCTAATAATCATCTTCAAGCATAGATTCAATTGATAAATATTCAGATTCACTTACCAGAGACTGATCCGAATCCTCCAAATTCTCCTTTTTCATTATCATAGTGTGAGGCATCAAACTGAGCATCCTCGTTAGGTAATTGAACACTTGCAATCAAAAGGTGATTTTGTTCATCAGAAGTATGAGTTCCCAAAATCAACCGATGTATGGAATGATCTTTACCATCTGGTCTAGTAACATCAGGAAGCCATTGGGCAGTAAGAGAGGGCCACTCCAAAGCATGTGTCATAACCAAATCATACAGAAAGGGGGTGTTTTTTTTCCATATTTTGTATTCTTCATTAATGACTCTTTCTTCCACAGCATCATCAAATGTTTCTGCATCCCCTTTATCCCCCATTTCCAAACCTCTCCTAGAATGCTCCAGGATTCTTTATTTCTGAAAGCACAATACTGAATAGAAAGAAGGTTCTATTGGATGCAATAACTTACTGAATACTATTTTTGAATGACCAGCAAATTATCACAGTCGATAGTAGCGACTTTTCTTGAAGTTGAGAACGGAAATAATTTGTTAATTGTCTATTTTCACATTCAAACCAACACTCTCAATCTCAACTTCGAAAAAGCGTCAGTTTTCAGTTGTACCAAAATTGATCGTTCATTGTCAAATAGAAAACAGCCAATGATATACGAGTTTATTAGCGCCAAATCCTTTGACAGCAGACATCCGACTGTATGTGACCTTGATTAAAAAGAGGGACCTTCTTTTATAACAAGGACCATAAACATTTAGAAAAAAGTACAGAAAAGTAGTACATTTTGTGATTTCAAATGTACATATAATTTGATTTTCTTTAATTTATTTTTTGTGTGACATTGATAGTGCCCAAGAGGGCGCTATCATTTTTTTTCAAATGGAAAGGAGGTCTCTTGGCATTTTGTACGAAAGGTATTCCAAATTCAAAACAGTAAAGGTTTTTGTATAGAGAATTAAAATACTTTTTGAGCGAAAGGTCACAAGACCCCCTTTTTATTTAAAATCAAAAAGTTGATAGTGCCTTTTCTGCGGCGAGTGATGCCATACCAATAGATTTTTTTGTACAACTGTCATTGAAAGTGACATTTTTAATGGTTGTCAAGAGTATTAAAAGATGACGTTTACAACGTAGCGTGTTAAAAATATTTTTAACACGATTTTTTTCGACCAAATAGCAATAAACAAAATATTCAATTGAATCTAATTATATTATTTATATCATTTGTAATTTGTCAATTGAATATTTGATATGTGAATTTAATTGAATTGAATGTTATTTTTTTCAGTATATTTTCTTTAAATTTCCTGCAATTGGGTGTACACCTGTTAGAAATAAAGTGCTATCTATCTATCAATAGTTGACAGTCTGAACTGCCAATTATCAATACTGAACAGTTCAAACAATCACTTATTTATAACCTACAGTTCAAACTGTTGATTAGCCATGATCGACAAACTGTCAATTAACCATAATCGACAGTCTCAACTGGCAATTATAAATACTGGACAGTTCAAACAGTCAATTATCAATAATCGGCCATAATCGACAGTCTGAATTATCAATTATAAATACTGGATAGTTCAAACAGTCAATTATCTATAATCGGCCATAATCGATGGTCTGAACTGTCAATTATCAATACTGGACCAATTCAGTCATATAAATGAGTATAGATTCCAAACATCTATAAACATGTTTCTTTAAAGGTTTTGCATTTATTAAGACTTTCATTTGCGTTTATGATAACCTTCTGTTCATTCAACTGTATTTAAAAACCAAACTTTGCAATTTTGTTAATACAGTAGAGCGTTGAAAATCCTAATCAATTGGGACAAAGGTAGTTTGGATTTTCGAACATAACCTAGAAATGCCACTAAGACCTATATATTTACGT